CCTGCCACAATGCCCGGCTATTTTTTGGTTGCAGCTGTCGTTTTTTTTGGTGGGCCCCGGCTGGATTCAAACTCACCACCTTAGGTGTATGTGGCTGGTGCCTTAGCCACTTAAGCCACAGGCTCTGAGCCTTTTTTTTTGTTTTTTAAGACAGAGTCTTACTCTGTCACCCTGGGTAGAGTGCACTGCTGTCATCATAGCTCACAGCAACCTCAAACTCTTGGGCTCGAGCAATCCTCTTGTTTTAGCCTCCCAAGTAGCTGGAACTACAGGCACAAGCTACTATGCCTGGCTAGTTTTTCTATGTTTTTAATTGAGATGGGGTCTTGCTCTTGCTCAGGCTGGTCTTGAACTCCTAAGGTCAAATAACCCACCCACCTCAGGCTCCCAAAGTGCCAGGATTACAGGCATGAGCCAGAGCCCCGGTCCAACATCTGCTATTCTTATTTCATTTAAACTCTTAACATTTTTTTCTGAAGTACAGGGGGGCAATTTAAAATTGCACATGAACTTTATGGTCACTGTATTTCTTTTTTAGAGACAGAGTCTCATTTTGTTGCCCTTGGTAGAGTGCTATGGCATCACAGCTCACAGAAACCTCCAGCTCTTGGGCCGCTTAGGTGATTCTCTTGCCTCAGGCTCCCGAGTAGCTGGGACTACAGGTGCCCACCACAACGCCTGGCTATTTTTTGTTGCAGTTTAGCTGGGGCAGGGTTTGAACCTGTCACCCTCAGTATATGGGGCTGGTGCCCTACTCAGTGAGCCATGGGCACTGCCTAGTCACCCGTATTTTAAAGTCAATCCCAGACATCATATTTCTTCATCTATAAATAATTCAGTATAATTCTCTAATACATAAGGACTTAAAAGAAAACCCCAAACTCTGTAATACTTTTCTTATAACCAACAAAACTAACAACTCTTTGACATTATCTAATCCTAAGCCATGCTCAATTTCCCCCAATTGCTTCAATATCTTTTTATGGTTGGCTTATTTGATTCTAAATGAAGTCTGTGTATTGTACTTGGCTGATATGTCTATTAAATATACATAGTATTCTCTCTTTTTAAAAACTGTCAGTTATTTGTTGAGTCATTTGTCCTAAAGTTTTTTTCAGATTCTAAATTTGGCTAACAATATCTTGATGTGTAATTTAACATGTTCTTCCATCTCCAGTATTTCCTGTGAACTGACAGTTAAAAGTCTGATTAGATTCAGATCAACTTACGTGGTAAGAATATTTCATAGATGGTGCTGTGTACTTCTTATTGTATCACATCAGTGGGAACATGTATGGTTGTCCTACTTTCAGTAATGTTAAGACTGATAATTGGGTTTAGGTGAGGATGGGTTGATCTGTCATAAATCCTCCCATTAAGTTCTTCATCCAAGAATTTGAATAATCATTGATTATCACTGCTTTGGGATTTTACATTGTTTCTTGAACTCCTGAAAATGAGTTGTGTATAAAAAGGAACAGCTCGGCTCGGCGCCTGTGGCTCAAGCGGCTAAGGCACCAGCCACATACACCTAAGGTGGTGGGTTCGAATCCCCAGCCCAGGCCCTCCTAAGTTACGAGACCAGACTCTAACAATAGGACTGTACAGTCTTAACTATTAAAAAGTGGCCAAGACTTTTTTTAAAAAGTAATACGGG